TATATATAAATATATATATATATAGTAAGGATTAAATTTTCAACAGCCAACAGATCTTGGAACCATACTTACCGACGCGACGTACAAAACATATATTTCCATACACGTAAACATACCTCAATAACTCAAGACACTTGACATTTCCCGACCATTTCTTATTAACTATTAACAAAGAACAGAAAGTACCACTAAGTACCATTAGGTAGTTTTTCCATTATTTGTGAAATCAGATAATAATATTATCCTTATTCAATACACGTCTCCAAAATTTAATATCTAAGATGAAAAGCCTAACTTCGTGAATACACCGAAAGTTGTACAGGGTGTAATTTAATATGTGAGTGGATGATAACTTAAACTTAAGATACGACTCATGATACTAATTGCAAAAATACTTAAATAGTACACCTATCTGTTAAAATAACAATCTTATTTTTTTATGGGATCTAAACGAGCCGACGGATCACCTGATGGTAAGTAATCGGCTCCACCCATGGACACCTAAAACACCAGAGACATTACAAGTGCGTTACCGGCCTTTTGAGAATTGAAATTTGGATTGTAGGGGATTCGGGGATTGGAGAGACTAGAGAGGGAATAATTGGGTCTCTGGTAACCTCACTCACACGACGAATCACAACGCAAGCGTTGTTTCACGTCGGTTTTCTGTGAGAGCGTGGTGTCACTTCGGTCGAGCCGGCCCATTCGTGCCAAAGCATGGCTATCCCACAGTTAGATCTATCTTATCTATCCACATTCACCATATAGGTCGTAATGATAAATAGATCACGTACTATTAATTAGCAGTGTGGTTAGATTCGATAATAAAAAAAACTTTTACTACTCCTTCTCTTCCCATGAGAGTTTAAGCAATTAAAAGGCTTCATTTGACAGAGACTTTGGGAGCACTCATTGAAAAATCTGACTGCGATCTCCAACCTACTATTTAGCGTAGAGATGAAATGGTAAACTCTGATGGCTGCTGCTGAAACATAGCTCTCCTACGTGTGAATCACTACGACATCATCAAAGACATGCGCCGAAGGGAATCCTAGACCTGTAATTTCAAAATATAAGTTCAAGTCACCAATCGTATACCCTTCAGGAAATACAGACTTTTTTATGGAATAGGAGGCAAACGAGCAGACGTATCACCTGATGGTAAGCGATCAGCGCCGCCCATGGACACCCGCAACACCAGAGGAGACTAAGACAAATAATTGCACTCCTTAGCAGTACGCACAAGGAAGCTTGAGTGATTTACCTACAATCCTATACAGCAAAAGTCTTAATACACTTAATGCACTGTATAGTTAAAAACCTTAGTATTAAAATATTTATCACGTATTCAACACATGCTGTATATAAAATTCACAATAGCGTGGTTTCTAAGCTAAGAATAGGCTCTTAAGGGTTGAACCCGTTTTAAAGATTATTGGCTGGCGTGCACGTGTCTTTTATATATAGGAGCAGCATATCAAGCCTACCACAAGTATTTTTATTTCATTCTTAACCTTATAGTCCTTTTAATAGAGTTGAAATTGTGTTAACAAATTATGAATATTTGGTGTAGTTTAATGTACTGATGTCTTCGTTGATATTATCTTGTAGGTATAGAAGGTTCTTGCTAAAATGTTCATTGAGATTAGCATGTAGGTAACGTTTTGTTTATGAATTATAATCGTTATGATTATGAAGTCAGCCAACACAAAAGCCAGCCACAATAAATAGATTGCGTGTTATTCTAGAACGCCTAGAATCTTATTCCGTACTACAAAGGTCAAGTAGGATAAAATTATAATAAGTAAGACATTACTTAGGACTTTGACTGCCAATAAAAAACTGTTGAAGGTAAATCCTCCGCTAACGCCGGTCACCGGTGACCCCCATGGCGTTTAACGCGTTAAGTAAAGTATTTTCACAATTTCCGTACGTGCCGAATGCGTCCGAAGTAACCCGAATCACTCTGAAGTTATCTAGACAAATAACATACTTACTTCAGTTGTGCTCAAATCCATGTTTATTAACGTTGCATGTCGTACCAATATAGTGAAAATGTATGGCAAATGAGCTTCACTGAAGGACTGACTGGCAGACTGAACAATTTTTTTGTTTGACGTTCTAAAGTTCTAGTCTAATTGAAATAAATGAGACCTTAACTATGACTTGACATGTACAAGCTGTGCAGTGACGGTAGAATATAATACATTTGTCCCTACCCCACCTCTCCCCGCAGGTGTTGTTATGCTACGGCCTGGGTGAACGATCTAGAAGCGAATGCGGCGCGGTGCGGCGCGGCGCGAAAATAACAAACTGTCGAAACCTATTAAAGTGTCCTTCGTGACAATTCGCCCGTGGGATGCGGTGTGGAGTGGCGCCAAATGACGCGGACGCGATCTTTCGATTTTCACGCAAACTGGATGCGTTTTTGTTTTATGATGTCAGAAACCGAAACAAAACGAAACGATTCGCATGCACGTAGGACATAGCCACCGCGTAGCACCACATCGCATTGAATTCTCGTGTCATCGCTTCATCATCGCATTTGCTTCTAGATCGTTCACGCATGACATACCGTCAGAGTCAACTAAGAGATTTTCGAGTCGAACTTTCGAGTTAGGATCTTAAATGTTAAAAAACTTAGTAAAATCTCATTTGATAGACACTTCTTAGCACTTCAGCCTAGCATTATGATGTAAAACCCTACCCATCACTTCACTTACAACTAGTTAGAGAATAAAGCTTCTATCTATAAAGCAGAAAACAGATAATTTCTGCACGAGTGATTCCAAAAAGAGTCCAAACTATTTATAAAGCCAAACTTGTAAAAAAGGTTAGGGTTAGAAAAGACCTTCTTTTGGCCTTTTTTCCAGAATTGGCCTACTTTTCATGCAGACTGTAAGTTCGGCCACGTTTTGTATTTCAAACAAATTTATATCGCAGTCTCTTTGAGCGTGAATCCTTATTTTTACGGTTCGTGCTCGGCGTCGGTCCTATTTGTTGAGCTAACGTGCCCAATTCGTTAGGATCAAAAATGTTTGCATTCACATTGCTTTTGTTTTGTTAAAGTAGACGAATTTTTTTGGATCGTTGTCTTTTTTATAAGTACAACAAGCATTGATTCCATTATTTATTGAAAAATAAATGTGTAATTATGCTAAAATTAAACAGAGTTAAAATGTGTAGAAAATTTTGTTCGTCATCGATCATAATTTTTTCTGTTGTAAGAATAATTTCTTACATGGACAAAGAAAGATGAAACATGAATAAGACTTCTGACTTATTATCATATCCCTTTATGTAATCAAGAAACCCATAAAAATTACGTAATACTTTAAACCAAGTGAGGAAGCAGCCTTATCCAAATCTTTGAGGATCATTTGCTCACCTCCGTTCGGAAAATGTTTCGGAAAATCAACGTGGAAAGCTCGTCCGTTTGCCGAAACCCAGTTTCGCTTTTATTTATATTTTGTTCAGCGCATTTAATCGGGTTGACTTTCTTGTTTATTTTGTTACATTTCGTTATTTATTTTGTAAAGGTAGAAATGTAGAGCTATCGGTTTTTCATACTTTATTCCCAAAATAATATAACCTCTTATTTATACATTAGTAGTTAGTACTTTATATGTGTGCTTAGTATCTAGATGTGTGCTTAGTATCTAGTTAGTTGCAGTTAAAATGATAAATTTAAACCTATTTAGGTACACCGTTTTTAATTTTAATGTATGGATCCCATTTTGACCATTAACCTCCCATGACCATTTTCACCTTTCCCAAAATTTGAAGTGTGAGTAGTAATTCAATAAATATTATCCCGAAAATTTTATTGCTGATACCCATAATGTCCCCATATTTGCCTCGTCAATTGAATGGTTATAAGTGCTACTGCTAAGCAAAAATTCTCAGGTTTGGCAAACAGCTATCGATTTTGTTGGACTTCAAATTCTCACTCACGGCACAAAGTCTTTTATTGTACCTAGCACATGACTATGACAATTTTAGATTCAAATATACATGACAACGATGCACACATGTAATGTAAGGATCACTAAACGAAATTCGATGTTCTATCGTCTCTCAAAAGCTATTCCCGAGGAACTAAAACCTCGTTATCGTGCCAAACACCAAAAACCAACTCTAATAGTTCCACTATTCTAGTCTATGAGGAGTATAGTTTATATTTCTATTCCTATTCGACCCATAACTTTGGCATCCACAGATGTCCGCAATGCATACGAACTTTAGTGTTTAGATAATGGAGATTTCATATGAGGGATAAACTTCCGAGGTGGTTTTGTTCTCTCTAGAATAAACATCACCATGTTATATGTTATGCATGTGCTATCCTGTTTAAGTTATAAGGGAGAAATGAAAAGAAAACGATAATTATTTTTGCCTGACCTTAGAGTTGAACGCGAGATCTCGCACTTGGCAGTAGCACCTGAACACCAGTTTCGATCAACGAAGCAGTAAAAGTATATTATAATGAGTGAAAACCAAAAGAAAACTATATAACATTTTTATTTAAAAAAAATGTGTAAAAATTTAACAAAGTGCTTATAATCTAAAATCGATAAAGAGGTACACTTCTTATAGAAAAACGGTATACAAACGCTAGTCGAACGATTGGGCAGAAAACTTAATATTGGCATAAAGTTTTAACATAATATATCGAATGTCCGTGTCAATCCTAATACAATGGGTTTTCTATTCGCTCGTTCAACCAGCCTTTAAATGCCATTGGTCTATTGGGAAAGAATATTAGTTGTAAATTTTGAAGCCCAGGACATTCAGTGTCTTCTAACTATCATTCTCAATAGTAGTCAAATCTACTGACAAGAACTCCCTTGATAATGAACGATAGCAGAGCTTATCTATCCCGAAACGAAGCGCCCTACTTCAAAGATGATTTTTGGTGGACATTAGGTGATGGGTGCACCGACAACTAATTGACCAAATACAATTACATTGACATGATTATTTGTGAATTTTATGCTTTATTAACATTTCTTCAAATTTTTAGAGAGAGCAAAAATCTGTCCAAGTCCAGTCTGTGCAGAAGAAATATTTTTTATCTGTAGTATATTCACCAGAAAGTTATTTACCAACAGATGACCTTAAACTTACGACTGTTTTCTTTTAGAACCCTAAGCGTCTTCAGAATGGACTTCAGTAGTATCTTCTTGGTACCTCAACCAAGATTTCTCGGCTTTTTCTTCGCATGCCATAGTGCCATTGGGTTTGTACTCTCCAAAGATTCTTAGCGCATCTAAGATCTCTTGTTTTCTAGGTCGTGAAGGTACTCTGCTGAAGACCACGAGGTCACCAGTGTCACAGTCTCTCATCATCAGCAGATTCTTTATCACCAGCCACTGGTCACCACTTTCTCGGTGAAGAGTTAAATAGGTTGTGTTTTCTGGAATTTAAGTACAATTTTAAATGAAACTGTTTCTGTTTTTTTTTAATTACACTAGGATTTACTCCTGTGTCATGTGTGCGTTCACAAACATACAAGTTCTCATCACATGACTCACAGACTCGAAATAACAATTCGTGGATGCTACAAAGAGTTGATACGGGCGGAAATTGAATCCGCTACACGTTATGTTCATTTTTAGGTAGAATTTGTGTTGCAAAGTTGCAAAAATTGTGTTGAAATGTTAAAGATTGTGTGGTTAACTTTTCTGCTATGCCGGTTGAAAGTCTAATTCTATTTAATTCTAAAACTTTTATAAATATATATAACAATTCACGCAAAACTTTTTTTTTTAATTTTATTAAACTGCCAAACACCGTGAGGTCACCGGTGACCGCAACCTATTGTTCTCTAATTGTGTCTATAATGACGGTACTCGACGAGTTAAATGTACAAAACTAAATTTTATAGTAACGAAATTCTATCACCTCTTTTCTTTTGTTCACGAAATTTGATTTTAATATATGAATCATATCTTGAAAATTGGTTAATTTTGGACTGAAGGTTTAACCGTCAGTTAATTTTAACTGGTCGTTAACGTGTGAAGGGGTCTTAAAGGAAATGCATTACTTACTGGAGGGGTTTAACCTAGCTTATTTGATGTTATCTTAACACGCTAAGATTGGATTAGATTAAACACCCAATGCATAGATTAGATTAATCATTAGTACTAGATAGAAGCAATGTAATTAAGTTTGGGCTTAGCAGGGAGTTATTAAGCCTAATATTAAAGCTACTAAGCCGAACCTTGTTACTAGAGTGCCTATTTAGACCTTTTACGGTTGATTACGAGAATTAAAAAAGGAATTAAAAGACTATGAAAGGAAAAGTACGCTCAAATTAGGCACACTATTCACTGTGTCATGGATTTTTCTAAACGTTTTCTCAAAGTTTTATTCATAGAAATTTCTGCTGTATGAGATATTTGAATAAAAGATAGCCACGTCTTTCCATTCCTTTTTTGTAGTGCAAGTGATTAATTCAAATATGTTCTCTATGCATGCATCCTAAGTTAAAGACATATCTCAAATCGACTTACGACAATGTTCTTCATCGATAATGATATTGTCCATCACGCCTTTTTCACTCTGTGTGCCTTGTAGAAAGTGTCTGCGCGACCCTCCATCCAATTTTTCACTAGATTTTATTTCCAAAAAGCATTTCTCCCAGTGGACTGTTTCATTAAAACTACCAAATATTGAAGCATAGCGCTGTTGCTCCTGTGAAAAAAGTAAAGAACCTTGATATTTTTGTCTTCAAAAGAGCAACGCATTTTGGGGATTGATGTAGACTAAGGTCCATTGCAGTGTGACATAGCTGACATGTTTCTAAAGAATTATAATGAGTTGGTCATTGCTTGTGCGTAACTTCTTGTGTTAGCACCAGATATAGTTATCAAACTAATGTCTGTGTTGATATAATTTTATGAATGACGAAATTCAAAACACGCTATTGTATTGAGCAATACCAGACATAATCGTGACTTTAAGGTATTTTGAGAAAACACGAAGGATTACATTTGACAATTTTATCGGGAATTTAAAAAATCTGGTTTTTTAAAACAATATTTTCAAAGAGCCTGTCTGCATAACTGCTATGAGGACAGGCTATTATAAAATTAATATTATTGGTCTCAAGAACAATATGACAACAAACTACGAAGAATTTCAAGAATGATAAATAAATTCCAGATCAGACATATCCATTGAATTCAATGGAATACCATATATCACAGTTACGTAATCTTGGAATGTCAGCCATGACCATTTATCAACACTACAGAATCGAACTTGGTATGTGATTTAAAACCACGACTTCGATTCTGTAACGGGGTAAGTAGTATTTTACTACGTCTGTAAACTATAGTAGGTAAGTATAATATAGTCGTCTCTTCGAAGACATTTACTTGTGTATGGAGTAGTCAAATATTTGTATTGTTACTGGTTACTACACCACTAAAGCAATCAGCAGGTAAATAAAATAATGTTGTAAATTTACCAAGAACTTCACCATCTTTATATGCAGCTTAAAGCATTTCAACTTATTCGGCAATCGATAGTACGCTACTTGCCAAATGTCGGCCATCTTCGATAAATTAAAAGAATTCCCTTTCTTGTAGTGTCGACATTTCTTAATCAAATCTCTCGATGAACTTTTCACTATCTTCATCTTTTTCTTAGTTACGTTTTCAGTTGTGTTTTCAAAATCTAAGTCTATTGAAGAAAGTTCATTAAAATCAACATTATTCTCAGTTGCTTCTACAATTAACTCTCCACTACTAAAAGTAGCTTCTGTGGTTGTTGCATTATCTTTGGGAGTCTTCTCTTTGTTCCTTTCTTTCTTTTCAAGATCATTATCTAATGTTTCGGCACTTGTGGTCTCAATAAATATATCAGTAGTAGTTTCATTCGTCTCTGATCCGTTCTGATGCTGCGATGTTGATGATGAATCAAAGAAAATCGTTTCTGTGATATTCTCAATCAGTTCTGTTGTAGCAAAATCATCGAATTCCAGTTGTCTCTTCTCTATATTTAGATTCTGTTCACTTTGATTATGGGTCACAGTATTAGCATTACACTGACAACAACTAATGAATCTTAAAAATATTAGAAAATATAAATGGGATAGCGAGTGTTTCCACAACATGACTAGTTTGGTTCACTGACGATTAGCAAATGAGAACTAAATACATTTCATCGATATTTAAATAATCTAGTTATGATTGTTTTGAGATTTTATTTGAGATTAGGTTGTGTTGTGTTGATATTTCGGTAAGAATAAGTAAATAATGGCCCTTTCGAATGAGCACATCCATTGTTATTGGAAAGTTTACTATATTAGACGACTATTGTTTTTCTTTTCTCTGAGAGTCGTAGGTATTGTGTGATTTTGGGCTAAGAATGAATATTGTCTTGGTTTGAGCGTACGCAGTCGTGTTTTGCGGTGATGGTTTAATCGTGTAATGTTATTTGGTTTAGTAAAATGCATTGCGTTGCAAAATTGAACAAAGGTATAGGACAGGTGACGTCATTTGACGCTGTGTGACGTGTCGTGTTGACTTCATCGTCATTGGTGTTAGTTATAAGACCATCCATATGGATGTAGGTTATGTCTATTTTATTTTATTCCCGACCTTGTTTTGTAGCAGTGAGTTTTATTTTATATACATTTATGTTCAGTGTATTTATTTTGTGCTAATATGGATTTTCATAAACTCTTAATAAGCCCGGATTTCTTCAAGATGTTTTGTTTCGTCGTTTGTCAATGGTATTTAAATAATGCCTTAATAGTCTGCTCACCATCGCCGCGACCGCGCACGCTGCTCATGAGAAAGAGTTCCTCTGTGACTCGAAACTAATTAGAACTTTTCTCAGTATATTTACGTGAGTAACTCATAATTTTTAGTTATCTGTCTGAATGATTTTAGAGAGTGTATATATAACTCGAAATAGTCACATTGTTACTTGCTGTTGGTAAATTTTGAACCAGCTCTCTCATGCATTGGAAGACAGTGTCATAATCTTTCGGGCCGTCACGACTATATCATTTATCAACATCCATAAAATTTATATGAACCAATGGATAACAAACGGATTCTTGATATTTTTCCTTTAAAACCTCGAGTTTCATTTGAAACAATTCCAGTGAATTTTGTCAGCGCAGTGAATTTTGTATTATAGCTTTAGTTCAAAGCGCGGTTGGTGCTGGAAATTGGTATTTTACTGCCATTGTCTGCGTGAAGCGTAACTCCGGCACGGATTTTGGTATCTCGAGGGGTTTTATTTTAGAAACTGCAGTATGCTAGTGTAGTCGGTGGATCTACTTTAGCTTTGTTCGTAGTAATACCTGTTTTATTGCATTGTGGATAATTATTATAGTTATCTTGGTTGGAATATTATGGTTGGTGTTTCTGTTTTCCGGGTTTTGTGTTGTTATTGTAGGAATTAAAGGTATTGGGGAGAGTCATATGAAAGTGCAGTAGAGTAGGATCTTTTGCATTAGTAGTGTTTTATCTCAATCGTTAATGTAATTTCCGATAAAATTTTATAAATAATATTCATTGGAACAGGAAATCAGAACACTGATCAACTAATGTTGAAAGTCATACATCCTATTATTGGCAAGTATGCTATAGTAGCTACCCGCGGCTTTGCTTGCGTATTCAAAATAATAAAGTAGACCAAATTACTCGTCAGCGTCGTAATAGGTACTAGCAACAGTGCGGTATACATTTTCATAAGTATAAACCGCTATGGTATCGAGGACATAGGACTTAAAATTGGTGCATGTAGTTCCTAAAACTTTCTAAGGCTTTGTTGCACGTTCCATGAACTTCAGTTAGGAATAGGTTCTGCTGAAGTTTGGAACCTAAGCGCTATGGGAATTAATATGGGTTCCTATTCAGTACGGCAAATTGGTCTCGTTAGTGTAAATCTTGGTACAACCATGATGTATTTTTATATTTTTATGATTAAAATAACTGTTAACGATAATTTCGTAATATTAATTTTTGTTTCATTATATATTATGTTTTCAGCTTACTCACGTAACTGTTTGACGAGGAACTCGACTAGTTTCAAGCCATGCTAAAGGCTCATAATTATACATGAGCAGCATTCCATGAGCAATATATGCAGGTTGACGTACTCATCATCTAGTTGCTGTCTAAGCACATTATTGTAATTTGTACCAAAACAGCATGTGTACGATTGTGGACTCTAACCTAGTTTATATCTCTACCGATGCAAATAATTCTTAGACTATAGTGACAAATAATATGTTTCTGTCTTACATAAATCATAATTTTAATTATCAGAGTATTGCATACCTAAGCTAACTACCTACACTATATTGTCATGTTACACTTAAGTTGTTTCACCTCTGCCTATCCCTTCCGGAAGCATAAGGCGTGAGGCTATGTATGTGTATATATATTAAATAGTCATATTTTAGTTTGTCAGAATTATGTCAAGTATTATGTTTGTAGAAAAAGAATGTATTACAATAAAATTATAATTATGTTAGATCTACTCTCGCCTGTGACACAGGATTATCCTAGTACAGGCACCTAACCATGTGAGATCTATTTTTCTTATCCAGGGAAAATTTTTGTATCTGTGTCCATTTACATTTATGAATAAAGATTATTTATTATTATTATATATTCCGCTACAAATAATAACATGAGTAAGTCGAAAAAAAAGTTATATTGTAATTAAGTAATTTAAATCAGATCTTCAAAATACTTTTGTTAAATAATTCCTCGTAATTACCTCGTAAATCTATTGATTATATTGAATTACAATAAATAAAACAAAGAGGTTGAATAAAAAGGTAAATATAGTGTCGTGAAACAACGAGTGTGGCACCTGGCTACTATAGACTTACACGCAGAATACACACACAATGACACGAAGGACATCTGTCGCGGGACATGGCCCGTCATTACACTTCATACATCACGGTGTAGCAAGTACACGCACACATAAATACACCACTCACATTTTGGTGGTTCAATCATCCGCCTTTGTTTGGAAGTCCTTAGCATAAAACTACACTCCACGTCAACACCGTAATAACATTCAAAAATTTTTACTAATTACTAACTAACAAATAATTATGAGTACATACAGCATAACATAACATAACATCACGCTTTTTTATCCCCGAAGAGGTAGGTAGGTAGGAGGCGCACATTACGGCACTTAATGCCACTGTACCTCTACAATGTAACACCCATTTTTCACTATTTCTGTTACGAGTCCCATGTAATAGGGAATACATTCAAACTAAGAAATAAAACAAAAAAGTCCAGATATAACAACGCCTGCCTGAAAACGCTAGTATTTCAGGGCAGGTACGACAGTAAACCTTACAGGTAGAAGTTTATAGCAGCACGTACTGAAACTACAGATAAAACATGTCGACACGATCTAGCAAGGAACATGGGCTTATGTAACGGTTACAAAGGGACGTGTGGAACTGTAAAGATATTTTTTTAAGGTATTTTAACTTCTACTGGGTATATAAATTGGTGGTTTAAACGAAGACATCATTGGTTATAATAAAACTTACGTGCGACATACTAAATTAATTATTATGTTTTCGGCTTACTCACGTAACTGTTCGACGAGGAACTCGACCAGTTTCAAGCCATGCTAGAGGCTTATATTCATGAGCAGCATTCCGCGACTCGCGACGTGGCGACTGTCGTTCTGTCGGCTCGACTCGAAGAAATATTGCTGATGAAATACAGCTGAAAGTTTGCTTCTAGAGATCCCGTCTCACCACACTTCCTTCATTTCTAACTCCTTCAGAGTTAGTGTAATTAAATTATGGAATGCGCTACCTCATAGTATAAAAATGGCTCCAAACAAAATGGCTTTTAAACGTAGTGTTCGTGAGGCCTATTTAAAGGCGCTACAACGCTGAGTTCGTGTCTTCACGAACTTAATTATATTATAATTATATATATGAAGTTATTTATGTATGTACATATTTTGTGTTTATTATATATTTTTATACAGTATGTTATACAGTATTTATTATTACTATTAGTTATTTATTTTGTTTTTTTTTTGCATATTACACAGGCCCATTTTCGCTGAGCTTACATTTAACCCAAAGGTTGACTGGGAGAAAATGCCATATGGCATTAAGTCCGCCTTATGTACCTTATTTTGTGTGCATTATAGTGTTATTAAAAAAAAACATATTTTTTTCATAAACTACGTTTAATAACAGGCTTAAGCCCGCTTTTTTGAAACCGTTAAATTAATGTAAGTGAACCTTCTCTCGTAAGTGTAACAAACACTTTTATCTTATTCTTATATCATATTCTTGCTCGTTCTTCTCCATAGGAATCTACACTTTGGAACGAGCAAATAGCTTCACTAGAGGACTGACCTACAGACTGACATTTTTTTCTTATTATGTATTTAATATTTAAATATTTTGTTTTGACGTTCAAAAGTGCCTTACTGGTCTAATTGAAATAAATGATTTTGACTTTGACTTTGACTTATGAAGACCGCATCAAAGCCAGTCGGTTTAGCCAATTGCGAGAAAATCTCGCACAAACATACATCTAGGTCTAAATGAGCACTTCATCTTTTTTAAGACGGATAAAAATGACGAAAAGCTGTAGTCGTACCTTGGATGACGGCTGTCATCAACACCTTTTCTCACACGGATAAGGTTTGGGCATTAATCACCACGCTTGCTCATGATGCGGGTTGACGATTTTATATTTATAATAATTAGAAATTATAAGCCCAGGTTTCCTCACGATGTTTCCTTTCACCGTTTGTCTAAGACTATTGTCTTAGAACGTAAATATAACATGGAAAAAGTCACATTGGTACTTGTCGTTGGTAGGTTTTGAACCCAAAGCCTCATGCATGAGAAGCGGGCGTCTTAAACCTTCGGGCCACCACGATGTAGTCTGATAGACCAATTTCGAGGGAAACTTACTTCTTGAGCCTCACCGCTTAGATGTATCTAGATACTTCATCATTGCCTACCTTTTTTGTTAAGCCACTCGACTTACATAAGCGATCGTCATAACATCAACAAAAATAAAAATAAAAATAACAATTACAAAAACAAAATAAAACAAAGCGAGGTAACGTCGGCTCGTGTTCAAT